CAGCTGTGGAGGCAAGCTGCTCACAGCCGCCTTCACACCTTCTGGAAGGGTCGTCAAGCTTATCCATGCCAACCACGCGCTTTGCCCGCCATTTGGGCGGCCACTGTGGAAGAAAGCAGTAAAGGCTGGCTGACGTTCTGCCAAGATGGGCCCGTGCCTGAGAGTCACGTTGTCTCTCCTCGCTTTGGAGTGAAACAAAAGAACAAGATAAGACCGATTGACAATTTCAAATCCAGTTGCGTCAACGCGGCCTGCGGGGTGCAGGAAAAAGTGGCCATGGACGGCATTCACGAGATCGTGTCCCTTTGCTTGCGCTGGCTACGGCGTCGTAAGCCCTTGTCCGCTGAGGACCGCATCCTGGGTCGTACCTGGGATTTGAAGAGCGCATACAAGCAGCTTGCTGTCAAGCGAGAACACAAACGCTTCGCTCTCATTTGCGCGGTGGACCCGGAGTCCAACCGTGTCAGAATCGCTGAGATTCACAGCATGCCCTTCGGGGCAGTGGCTGCCGTGCATGCTTTCCTCCGCTGTGGCGAAGGAATCAAGGCCATAGGCCGAGGCAAACTTCATCTCGTGATGACAAACTTTTTTGATGATTTTACGGTCCTGGCGTCCAGGGCGAACTGCAAGCATGTGCAGCTCGTAGTTAGCTTCCTTTTTCGAAAATTGGGGTGGGACGTAGCCCCCGAAGAGAAAACGAACGCGCCGTTCGCCGAAGTCTTTGACGTTCTCGGAGTGCGCGTGGACCTGTCCAAACAGCACGAAGGAAAGGTAAGCATCAAAAATACCCCGGACCGCCTCACAGAGCTCCAAGCCGACATTTCGCGCATCCTGGAGAATGGAAGCATCTCCTACGAGGAGTCGCAAAGACTCCGGGGACGTTTCCTCTTTGCTGAGCAGAACGTGTGTAGGCGTAACTCCAGACAGGCCATAGTGGCAGGTGGGGACGTTCCCGACACAGTGCAGGGGCCCGTGAAGCTGTCTCATACCCAAGTAGCCGCTCTACGGTTTCTGGAGAAACGCGTCCTAGACGGCCAGCCACGCCAGTTCTGTATCGTTCCCAGGCCCACTGCGCGTCTCTGGCTGGATGGAGCCTGCGAATGGGATCCGGGTCAGGAAGCCCCAATCTGCGGCTTCGGAGGAGTCCTCCTCATGGAGGACAGCCCGCCACTCGCGTGGGGTGCCACGCTCAGTCCCATGTCAGCGAAAAAGTGGGCCCATCGTGTGGGCAAACAACAACTGGTTGTTGAGTGCGAACTCCTTCCGTACCAGTTGTGGAGCACGTTGCTCCGGGGCACGGACTTGTTAGTCTTTATCGACAATGATGCTGCGAGAGCGTCTCTCGCTAAATCCTTCACCCGCAAAGAAGAAGGGGCGCTCATCGTGCATGAGGCCGTGCACCTGGAAGAGCAGCTTGACGTTCAGGCCTTCTTTATGCGAGTGCCGACGTTCAGCAACATCGCAGATGGGCCCAGCAGAGACGATTTCTCTGTAGTCTTGCAAATGGGGGGCAGGCGCGTAGCTCTGCCACCCTTCGCTGTGGAGCATTCTCTAGGCCTCTGAGCTCTACAAGGTGGGGTATGCGCGCGAGGCTCTAGTAGTAGGGGTCATCCCGTCGCACGCCGCGTAGGCGTTGCACCAGCTGACGGATCCCAGCTGTTGTACAGCCTGACTTCTACCCCACCTTTTGCGCTAGACGTAAAAAGAGAGCGACGGCTGGTCCTTAAGTTAAAGAATAGAAGCGAAGCAATAAGCTTCCCTCACGCGTGCGTGATTGAGCTTTATTGAGAGCGATAATGACTGACAGCAACGTTTGCTGAGGCAGTTTAGCCTCTGTAAGAATTTACTAGCATACACGTTGCTCACGTTGAGTTTTTGTATGGCAGTCATTTGAGCTCTCAAGCTTGTAGCCTATAGTTTTCTCTTCGTAGAGTAGCCCGTAGCTTGTAGCTCCCTCTTTCGTGCCCGTAGCGCCATGCACTGCCTTGCAAACATGTGGGATGACTCGGCGTCCGAGTCGAGCTCTGCAAGCACCCTGACCATGCCGGGCTTGGCAGGGGTGCAGTGGAGGGAGGGGCGGCTATACGCCGTACGTTGCAGATTCCCCCGTATAAGGGACAGTCCTCCGGCTCTGCGTCCGCAGCTCCTGCGCAGCAAGCTGGGGCCCCGTCCCCGGTACAGGAGCCGTGCTCCACCGCAACGGCCTCCGCAACCCCGACCGTGCCAGTTGGGCCGACATTGGGCAGGCGGGGCACGGGGCCGTGCCCCAAAACCATGCCCCGCGCTCCCTATGCCACCACAGGCCGATGAGGACAGTGAGCCGGAGCCGGGTTCGGAGAACACCGCCAGCTCAGCCATGACCCTGCGGAGCAGTACGAGTTGGCTGCCAACGTTTGGCAGTGGCCTCAATGGAGAGCAAGCAGGTCCCTGACGTTCTGCAGGTTCATTTGGGCCCGGGACGTTCCCGGCAACATCGAGCCAGTTGAGAACTGGCCTTATTATGCGAACCGCGAGCGTCTCGAGAGGTAAACGTAAATCGAGGGATCCTTCGAGTTGAATTCCGATGAAGCGTCTGAAGACGGCGGAAGTGCGGGCGTGATTCTCAGCCACACCGCCCGCGCCTTCACGGCAGCCACGCCTGCGCAGAGTGCCACCGTGAGCGTCCGCCCAGCCGCCAGAACCGCAGGCGCTGACCCCGCGTAGGGGTCCCTGCACCTTACGCAGCCCGTCTGCCACACAGTGCCGGGCCGCCCCTGTGCGGCAGTGTAGTTTAAAGGCCTTGCTGGGGAGGCTCTAGAGGCCCGCAGTCAATGAAGATGTTAAAGGCCTTGCTGGCCTCTTTTGTTCGCAGCCACCTGGCAGCGTGCCGCTTTCAGGAAAAATGTGTCGGCCGCGTGGGTCAGGGTCTGAGTCAGAGGCTTTGTTTTCTTGCGCTTGCTTTAGGGTCTTTTCTGCGTGTTGCAGGTTTTGTTCAAGGGTTGTGGCCCTAGAGACCCCGGTTGAGGCCCCCCTGCGCGTCGCAGTTTTATAAGGCCCGGGGCCCATGTAATGAGATCCTCAGTTGTACCGCGTAGGTAGTGGAGCCCGAAGTGGGCCTCTCTTTTGTCTCCTGTTTGTCAGTACCGCGTTGGACTGAGAAGAGGATCCTGTAGAGGCTTGCGTAGGCCTAAGTAGTGGATCGCGTTGACCACTCAAACCGCGTAGGCTGACCGGGTTGGTCCTTCCTTTCCCTTTGCCCCCCCCCTGCCCAGACTGATCAGGACGATACGCTGCAGCTTTCTCTGTGCTCAAGCTTCGCCCTCAGTATTCTGTAGACTCCTCAGAAAAGTCTGGGGTGGGGGACGCCCCCGCAGCGCTTTGCTTGTTGGACCGCTTCTTCCTGCTGCTGGCCCGCAGGCGCAAAACGTTTGCGTCTTTGGCCGCTTGGGCCGGCGCGGGTTCAAGGAGCGTGGCTCCGCCGTACTGGTTGCTGGGGCGGGCACGTCCGCGGCCGCAGGAGGAACGTCCCCCTCCTCCTTCACAGGCGGCAGGTGGTGCGGGTCACCCGCCAGCAAAGCCGCCAGGGACGACGGGTGCACGAGTCGCGGCGGCTGCCACCCAAGCAGCACGGCTGCGAAAGGGTTTATCCCGATCGACGGGTGTGCAGCTCCAACGCGGAGCCATCCTGCGGGTCACTGCTGCGGCCTCAGTGACCTCCGTGGCCGTGGCTGACCCGCCTGACCTGAGCAGCTGCTCGGCGTCCTGGAAACTTTCCAGCAGCTTGGCAGCAACGTCTGCCTCGACCGTGGTGGAGGAGAACACCTGCTTCATGACTGCACGGCGACCTCGTCAGCGCCGGGTGCCGCGCTTGCTGTGGTGCTGCCGGGCGTCCCGCATACTTAGCGCAAGTCCGCGGCCGCCCGCAGGGCCCGAGCTTGCGGAGGCTGAGGGGCCCCCACCCGAAGAGCAGCCGCAAGCGCACCACCGCTCCTTTCTTATTTGCAAGGTGTGAATCAGGGCCGTGCCCTGCGCCCCCCACTCCGGGGTCGCCTCCTGTGGTCCTGCGAGGCGCCGGAGGCAGCCCGTGGCCGTCCGGCCGGCCCACGGCACCGATCGTGCACGTGAGCACGAGTCGCCCCACCAGCAGATGGATGGGCACGCGTAGTGCCAGTCGTGGACAGGCCCAGCAGGAGCCGTCCACAGACCGGGGCCGTGTCCCCGAGCCGGGCGAACCGGCCATGACATGGCTGCGGCCAGCCCCTCGAGAAAGACGGTGCATGAGTTCACCTGCAGCGTCTGCGGGTGGTACTGGGCTGGCGGGCGTCCCGCGCAAAAGCACTGGCGTTGCCCGCAAGTCCGCAAGTGCTGCCGGGAATCCCACCGTCGTACGGTGGATCGCCCCGTGCCCAAAGGCGCAGCCAAGGGCAAAGGCAAGCGGGGCAGTTGAAGGGCCGTGCCCCCCCCCTCCTTTTGGAACTGCCAGCCAGCGATAGAGCGAGACGTTCCCGCAGGCGGCCGCGCGCTCACCTGGAGGCTAGTGATCTGACAGCCCGTGATGGGCAGAAATCGCACGTGCGAAAAAGAGTGGACAACCATCGTATGCTCTGACTGCACCGGGTGCTTCAATCGTTGTGTGCTCTGAGTGCTGCGTAGGCTTTTCCACTCTATGTCAGCTTTGTGCGTGAGTCATGTGTTGTGCGCGTAGCCTTTTGATCTCAAGCGGGTAGCTTTGAAACTTTGTAGATTTCTTCAGGCGGGCCCGTGGTTTGTACTCTTCGTCTGAGCTTGCGCGTTGCTTGTTGTTCTGCAGCTTTGTTTGCTTGCTTGAGTGTTGCTTGTCCGCAGCCATTTTAATTATGGAAGAGAGAACCCAGAGAGCCTGGGCAGCCCTGCCAGCCCCGGACACGAAGCTCCCATGGGAGTCATGGTTGGATGGGACGTTCCTGTCCCTGCCGACATGAGCCTCTCCAGACCAGACGTGGTACCCCTGCCGGACCCGCCGGTCGAGGTAGTGGCAAAGCGCCCTCGCGTAGAGGGCTTCAGCTTCTCAGGGTCCGTGGCCATCAAGGTCTCAGCCAAGCCGTGGCATGAGGAGGATCGCAGAAGTTCTGCTCTTTTCCAAATACAGACCGTGGTGGAGGCGTGGCCCAACGCGTTAGGCCTGGCAAGGCTGTGCCGTACGTTAGACGGCATGGATTTCGAGGAGCTGACGTACAGCATTGAGGCGAGCGTCTCGCGCAAAGCGACGTCCACCATCGTGCGACGCCTCAGCAGCTTGACCCACTACGTTAAGTGGAGCGCGACAACTTCCATCACACCATTTCCGGTTACGGAAAAGGCCGCGTGGGCCTATCTGGTGCACCTGCGGCGAACGGAAGCAGCATGGTCGAAGCCAGGCAGCTTCCAGCAGTGCATCAATTGCTGTCGGGGCGTCCTCGACTTGGAAGTCGAGCCTGACTTTATGAATAGCCCGCGCGTAGCGGGCCTTTGCAAAGGCTTCGAGTCGCCCGTCCCGGCACCGAAGCGTGCTCCAGCCCTCACGTTCGAGGAAGTCAGATATATCGAGGCCATCGCAGCCTCAGGTCCTAACGTTCAGGACGTCGTCATAGTAGGGGCGATTTTGTTCATGCTGTTTGCCTGCGCTCGAGCGAGCGATGCAGCCAGAGCGGTCTCGCTGCACGTGGATTTTTCGGATTCCACGGGATCCACCGTGTGGATCGAAGCAGAGGTCAAGAAGAGCAAGACGGCCATGGGGGCCCGTTCCCGCATGCTTCTGCCCTTGCTGGTGCCGTGCGGCATTTTTGACGAGATCTGGGTGGGGCATTGGATGGAAGCCCGTGAGCACCTAGGCCTCGCGTCTCGGGGGAAATTGAAACCGGCTCCATGGTGCCGCTTTTTGACGAAACGGTCGACCTATGGCCCCACAACATATCACGTCGTGGCTTCGAGCCGTGCTCGGCAAGGACTTTCCAGAGGCCACCCGGCTCAGTAGCCACAGCCTGAAGGCGACCGGGCTTAGCTGGGCGGCGTCCGGGGTCCCGCTAGACACCAGGCGCCTTCTTGCGCACCATGTGCACGACGGTGCGCGTAGCACAGAAACATATAGTCGAGACGTTCTCGCGCCGGCCGCACGCGTTTTCGAGGAGGCGCTTTTGGCCATCGGAGCCGGCGACTTCGCTCCAGACAATCCTCAGTTCGCGGGCAAGAACAACACTTTACGCCTGTCGGCAGAGCCACCCGTGGTGGAGGAGGACGTCTTCCTCAGACCCAGGAAACCGGCCGCGCAGGAGTGGCCGCTGGCCGATGAGCCGGATGTTCCGGAGGCAAAAGCTCACCTCTCAGACACTGACAACAGCGCATCAGAGAGGGAGAGTGAGGACGATATGCCGCTGGACCCACCCCTGCCTCAGCATCGTGAAAGGCGCCCGGCTGTCGCCTCTTTACCCTCGTGGTGCACCTCGTGGATGCATGTCACCAGCGGATGCCTGCACGTTGCAGGCGGCCCCCACCATAAGGAGCGCCTGCTGTGTGGTCGGAA